CAATCAGAACACCAGTAGGTGGACCACACTCTTCATACTTGACAGATGTACAGGGGCTAGAATCAAGAAGGTCAAAGCCTTGGGTAAAATGGCACAATTCCAGTATGGTTGATGTCTGAATCCAAGGCAGAATCTCTGTTGTGTGTATATACTGCCTTTATCTGAGTTGGCCCTTTGCTGAGGGAATATTTTAGTAAACAAGGAACAAAGGCCTGGGCAAAGTGGCTCACACCTATAATCCTAGCACTCTGGGAGGCCAAGGCAGGAGGATCGTTTGAGCTCAGGAGTTCAAGACCAGCCTGAGCAAGAGTGAGACCCTATCTCTATTAAAAAAATAGAAAGAAATTAGCTGGACAACTAAAATAAATAAATATATATATATAATTTAGCCAGGCATGATGGTGTGTACCTGTAGTCCCAGCTATGTGGGAGGCTGAGGCAGGAGGATCACTTGAGCCCAGGAGTTTGAGGTTGCTGTGAGCTAGGTTGACACCACGGCATTCTAGCACAGGCAACAGAGTGAGACTCTGTCTCAAAAACAAAACAAAACAAAACCATCCTCTACCTCATTGGAGTTTACATTCTAGTATGGGGGAGATAGACAACTAAATTATATTAAGTAGATATTAAATGGTGACACATGTTTTAGAGGGAAAAGGGGCTGAGGTATTTGTGGGGGGCTAGGGAGTGGTTGCCGTTTTAAATAGAGTGGTCACAGAAAGGCATCACTAAAGGAAATGTTTGAACCAAGACCTGAAGCAAGTAAGGGGATGGTCCAGGCAGGAGTCTGGGAGGAAAGCGTCCCAAAAAGAAGGAATAGCAAGTGTAAAAGCCTCCAAGTGGGAGCCAGCCTGGAGTGTTTGAGATACACCAGGAGGACTGGTGGCTGCAGTGGCATGTGCTAGGGGGCAGTAGTGAGCCATAAAGGCAGGGAGGCAGATTTCACAGGGCCTTGTAGGCCATTTTAAGAACTAAGACTTTTTCTGCAGAAGTTATGTGCTGAAAAAAAAAAAAAGAACTAAGACTTTTACTCGACTGTGGTGGGAAGCCATTGGAGGGTTTTGGGCCAAGGAATGACAAGATCTGACTGAAGTTTTAACAGGGCCACTCTGGCTTGTATGTTGAGCCAAGGTCAAATCGGGGGACTAGTTGCGAGGCGCTTGCCCTCCTTCTGGCAAGAAATAACGAATGGTACTGGACTGGAGGGGTAGTTGAGAGGTAGCGAGAAGTAGTTGGATTCTGGATATATTTTGAAGGATGTGCTGATGGATCAGATGTGCATGCAAGAGAAAAAGTGGGAGTGGAGGATGATGCCAGTGTACTTGGCTTAAGTAACTGCAAGGATGGAGTTGCCATTAACTGGGATGGCAAAGGCTGCAGGGGGGTGGAAGTTTGGAGGGGAAGATAAGCAATTCACTTGGGGACATGTTGAATTTGAGTTGCCTCCCAGACAGCTGAGGGGAGCTGTGGAGTAGGCAGTTGGATAAATGATGAATGACGTTAAGCAGGGAGGTCTGGACTGGGGATATATAGGTGGGATTTAAAGGCATGAATCCAAATGAGATCACCACAGGAGCAAGAGAAAAAGATGTGGTCCAAGGACTGAGTTGGACTTTCACATACTGGGGAAACGAGAAATCAGCAAAGGAATCTGAAGAGAACAGTATAGTGACCTAGAAGCCAAATTAGACAACTCTTTTTTCCCATAAAAGGGAGCAAAAATTTGGGATGGTAGCCAGAGGCAGAAGTGAGATTGGGAGAGGTATTTTATTTTTTAACAGAGCAAATGGGGATAATACCTGCTTTACGAGGCTGTTGTAGGGATAGAATGAGATGATGTTTGCAGAGTGCTCAGCACAGTCAGTACCTGATAAGAATAAGAGCTCAATAACTGGTACTTGATGATATTAATAATTCACCATAATTGCTTTGATGTATAAATAAGCACAAAATTAACTAAAGTTCCTAACTCATCTGGCCAGTGAGGTGAAGAGAGGATCAAGGGGACTGTCCCTTGCTGCTTTCTAGGGGAGCAGTGTTGGTGTCGAACCTCCGGAAAGGGGCCAGGCTGTCTTGCTGCAGTGCCCTTTCTGTTAAGCTTTCTAAATCCCCCTTTTCCTAATTGCAAACAGGGAGGTGAATTCCTGCTTCATTTCTGTTGCACTAGACTTTTGCATCCTAGGAGTCAATTGTCAAAGGGCAGGCCCCTGTTCTTGGCAGTAGAAAGAATAACGTGGACACACTGGGCCATCTTGGAACACACCTCAGCCACACACATCCCTTCCTTCCCCCTTTGATGATTGGTGGGGGCCTGAACAGATTATTGAATACCTACTATGTGCCAGGCACTGTTTTATGTGCCAAAGAATAGAACATAAAACAAGAGGACAAAGTTTTTGCCCTCGTGGAGCTTATATTCTAGTGTTTTATGTTGAATAGTGCTAAAGGCAAGAGAGAAATAACAAAGTGCAGGATGATTATCTGGAACATCAAGGTAAGGACAAGGTTACTTTTGAGTAAAGACCTTGTCATGCACAGTTCAGTTCACGGCTGAACTTTGAAGTGTTGTCCCAGTTCTTGGGCTCCAGGCTTGGGAATCACAAACCTTGGCCTGTGCAACCAAGAGAGATGACAGACACTCAGCAAATAGGCGTGAAGCATTTATTGTAAGGAAAGTGTAAGGGTGCAAAGCAAAGTACGTTTCCTAAGGGCAAACAGGTCTGTCTCCACGAGTGGAGAAGACCCTGGCTACTTCTATGTTTTTCTTTTTATATGCTCTATGTTTAGGTAAAGGTTAGTCACAATTATTCATAACTATATGTCACTGTTTTGGGGACTGAATTCTTTCTGGATATGCATATGACTTAAAGGTTATGTTCCAGTCATTTTTTCTAGTATATGTATGATGGGGAAAGTTCCATAACCATTCTCTGACTGGCGGTCAGTGTTCCATGGCCTAATTACCCTATTCTTTAAGACTGAAATAACCATTCCTTCTTTTTATTTTTCTGCAACATTTCCTCATTGTTTTTCTATAACTGCTTTCTCCTTTCTGCTTTTCTGATTTCCATTACCTCTCACTTGTTTTTCTGTCCCTAACAACCTGAAGCAGGGTTGCTGACAGTGGTAATATTTTGGGAAAGAGCATTCCAAGCCGAGGGTGTAGCATACGTGTGGCATGGCATGTTTCAGGAGCAGAACAGGGGCTGGCATGGCTGGAGTGGAATGTACCAGGGCCCTAGCAGACAGGTGAGGTCAGTGAGGCATGTGAGAGACTTGGGGATCACAAGAAGTGGTCTGAGTGAAATTCACCCACCAGAGGGTCTTACAAAGGCCACTGGCCACTGGTCCTTAGGAAATAGCCCCCCTTTGGCACCTTCAAATGTCTGAGTTGTAAGGAATGAGGTGGCACTCTGCCTGAGATTTGCGAATCACAGCTTCTTTGTGGTAACTGAAGCCTTCAGTGGACCGTCTCAGGGCGAGTTGCAGAGAGGGGCAAGGAAAGGGCCCCAGGACCAGCACTTGGGGGAGCTTCAAGTAGTAGACTGGCTCTCTAAGCCCAAGGTTTCAGGCTCTAGGACTGAGTGAGTGATCCAGCCCAGGGAAGGGAGAACCCTCCCTCCCAGCTATGCAGCGCCTAAGAGCCTGCCCAGGGCCAGGCTTCCACTGCCTCCTGCCACCCCGTCCTCTGCTCTTCCTCCATCAAGCCCTGGACTCTGTTCCACGGGCTCCCCTGGCAGCCACAGCGGGGCCTTCTCTGGGGGTGGGGATGCTGTAACTCAGGATGTGCCAAAGCACTGAGGGTGAGGCCACCTTGGTGGCTCTCAGTGCTACCCCACTTTGTCCTCCCTGTCTGGATTGGGGTAGGGAGGCTGAGATGTTACTAGTGGTAAATGTGTGTTGGTGGGAGGGAGGAGGAAGAGGAGCAGGAGGAAAAAGGCGCAGACCCTCGGCATAGGTGAGGACTTAGAGCCACATTAGGCCTATGCTTCAGCACAAGCTTGGACCTCAGGCTGGAATCCTGTGCCTCCGGGGGTGGGGGGCCAGGGCAGAGTGCTTCACCTGGGGGTAAAAAAAAATGCCCAAATCAATAATGGAGCAAAGAAATTGGTCACTCCTTGAATTTCAAAAAGCTACTCATTACCCTACAGTGATGGGCCAGGAGCCCCCAGGGGCTACAGATCAGATTAGAGCCAGTGTCCCCTAGATTTTTATCCAGGTCTCTGTTTTGCTCACTGGCCTGGAAACCCCTGGAAGGAAAGAGCCAGGTCTTCCAATCTTTCACTCCAGCTCTTGGCCCAGGGCCAGCACACAGCGGGTACCGGAACTCACAAAGGACCTTCCAAGTGACAGGCCCTGGCAAGACACTAGATGTGCTCTATTGGGATAAACAAGACACAGCTGAGTTCCTGCCACAGCTGTACAAAGGCTTGGAACGGATTCACCCAAAGCAACACAGCAGGTCACCATCCTGCCTGCATTCCCAGGTTCTTCCCAGAGATGTTCCGCAAACATGCCATGCCACCCAAATGCTCACAATTCATATTGCCCCCCAGAGCCCTGACCATCCTGCCCAAGCCATGCAGGCCAAGCAACTGGTTCCCACGCCCAATCCACAATAAATGAAGCCCAGAAACTCACGTCCTGGTTTGTACCCAAGCTGGGGGCTTTTATTTACAGAAAGACCTGGATAGATCTGGGGAGAAAGTGGGGGATGGAGGTGGCAGGGAGATTTATGCCAGAAAGGAAAGGAGGGGTGGATGTTTAAATACTCAGATGGGAGTCAGGAAGGCAGTAGTAGGGCTGGCTTAAGGATAGCTACCTTAGGGCTGTTACCCATCAGCAGTCACCCAGTAAGTCCAGAGAGTGAAAATGGGATCCGGAACCAACAGAGACCTCAGTCCACCTACTCCACGGACAGGATGGCCAGTGGAGAACGGTGCAGGTTAAGGAGACGTTGTCTGATAACAGCCAAGTGGTGCTCCGGGAAGGAAAGCCATCCCATTCCCTTTGGAGCTTCAACTCTCCAGTGACCCTGGCCCTGTTGGCCTCACTTCTTCACTCTAGTGCCCTACCTCCCCTTCCCCCATGTTTTAGAATTCCTTTTCCTCAGGGCTCCTGGGTCCCAGACAGAAGGTCCTGGGAAAGTTGGTTTCCTGGGCTGAGAGATGAGGTGGATGTCCAACCAGAGGGGACCTGGTCCTACCCCACCCAGGATGCCACCGTGCTCTGTCCGGGCCTGATGCTCAAGGCCCTTTGATAGATCCGGGTTCCGTAAGTCGGGCAGAGGCATAGGCTGAGGCTCCGAGGCAGGCTGCAGGCTCACAGAAGCCCGGCAGCCCCACAGGGCCTGGCAGGCCAGGTCGGCCTGCCTCTCCTGGAGCCCCTGGGGACCCTCGGTCTCCATCCTTGCCATTGATTGCCTGGCCAGGCCGGCCAGGGAGACCTGTGAAAGGGAGGAAGTCAAGACATCAGAGGCTCCTCCTGTGTCTTCCCTAGTATTGTTAAGGTGGGGAAAATGAGGCCAAGGACACCACAGGAAGAAGGGACTCCGCCCTAGACAACAGAGATTGTCAATTACTCCAACTCCCATCAGTGAGTCTTGGGAGCAAATGTCCTTCCCCTTCCCTCCATAAAATGATGGTGGTGCCTTCTGGGAAGTCCACAGAATACAGCTCCTGGTTCCCAGCCAGGACCCACCCAGGGACTCCTGGGTGCTCCAAAGGGATGCAGAAGCTGGGTATCTAGGGTTGAGCTGGCTGAGTATGAGGCTGCCATGGGAGAGACCCAGGTGTCTGTGGGTCATTCATTAATCCCTGAGCTGAGGGACAGAACTAAAGCTGCGCAGGGCCAAGGTCTTACCTGGGATTCCTGGGGGCCCAGGCATCCCCGGGTGCCCACGTCCCACTTCACCTCGATCACCCTTCTCTCCACGTTTGCCTGTAGACAAAAAAGGAAATCTGGTTCAGAATCAGAAAATGTTTTTCCTACTTTGCTATTTAATTTCTATTTCACACACAGTTATTCCTGTTTTGTGCTACTTTATAAAAGGGGAAAGTTGGAAATGGCCATGCAAGGCTGATTAAAGAAAGTCCAGACAAAGGATGGAAGATTATGTAACCAATAAAGTTTATTTCAGGAAAGAGTTTAAATATAACAGTATCTAGCATTTACTGTGTACTAAGTAGTGAACTAAGAAGAACTCTATATAAATTACCTCTAACTATAATCCTTATTACAACACTATGAGGTTGGTACTATTAATATTAATGTTCCCATTTTACAGATGATAAATTTGACGCCCAGGGAAATTAATAGGCAACTTATCCAAGGGTCACAATGAGAACGTGGCAGAATCTGGATTCACACTCAAGTCTGGTGGCTCCAGAGCCTGGTTGCTTTACTACTCTGCTCATGTACCTCCCCATCTCTAGAGACATGACAAGATATTTATGCGGTACTACTAAGCAAATTAAAAAAGCAAAATAAGAAACCCAAGTTGTAAATTAGTGCATAGTCTGCATCAATTTGCTACTGGGGAAGAAAGCCTGGGAGTGTTTCCTGGACAGGCTGGTGGAGGGAATGGAGAAAATGTCTGTATCTCATCCCGGGAGGGGGAGTTGTGAAAGGGAAAACAGGAGAAGCAGTCAGCCTGCCTAACTGAGGGCCCTGGGGTGGCCTAGGCCTAATCGCTGTTGCCCAGCCCCCACTCCCACTGCAGAACAGCACTCACCCTTGGGCCCCGTGTTGCCAATCTGACCCACAGCTCCGATGATGCCAGGAATGCCCCGAGGGCCAGGGTGCCCGTGGAGTCCCTGCTTGCCTGGGTACCCAGGGGGCCCAGGAGGTCCTGGGGGACCCATCATCCCTGCAGCACCCAGAGCTTCTCGCTTGGCACTCACAGCTACCTCTGCCAGTTGCTCTGGAGGAACGGAGGAAGAGAGACAGGTCTGTTAGGTGGGTGTCAGTAACCGGAGGGAAGGCAGAACATCCTGATGGTCCCTGGCCCCTAGGTTTGCAGATAGAAAAGCACTTTATGTTCCCCCTGCCCTCAGGCCCTATTTGCTGAAGTCAAAGGTCCAGAGTGACTCATCCAAGGCTCCCAAGCCCCTTGGTGGCAGAGCTGGAATGAGCACCCAGGACTGCAGACTCTGAGAGCAGTCGGTGTGGATGGGGAGAGGCGCCCGAAGGGCGGCGGTGGTGCCCTGCAGTGGACTGTCAGGAGGGGTTGCTGTCCCTCCCCTCACCTTGCATCATCTTCAGCACCACATCCACGATGTGCTGGTCGCTGGCGTCTCGGCCCTGAAAGCAGAGGCCTTTCAGGAAGAAGCCCCCGGCTGCCAGCGCCAACCACTCCTGCACCCTCTGACCCCTTCCTGCTCCCATCTTCTCCCAGAAAGGTCATTTCCTAATCCCTTCTGCTGCACTCACACCCCTGCTCTCTGATCTGGGGCTTGGACCACCCTCAGGGAGGCCAGTGGGCTTCTGGGAATTCCCAGCCTTTGAGGGATAAGGCACCCCCTAGGAGAATCTCCTGCCCTGGAGCCCAACTCACCGCCAGGCCCTGTCTCCCAGGCTGTCCCGGCAAGCCTCGGTCTCCGGCCAGTCCTCGAGGGCCAGGAAGCCCAGGGTAGCCCTGCACCCCTGGGGCGCCCGCATCTCCGCTGGGGCCAGGGTAGCCTGGTTCTCCGCGGACTCCTTGCTGCAGGGAGAGGGGTGGGCGCAGAGCAGAGGTGAGAAGGGGCCAGGCTGGCCAGGTGGGCGGGGAAGGGGCGGGGCCAGAGGAGAGGCGGTGGTCCCAGGGACCGCAGGGGGTAAGCTAGCGGCTTTGGGACTACAGGACTCACCTGTCCCTTGGGGCCGGGCTCGCCAGACTCGCCCTGCAGGTATAAGGAGCCGTGGTCACTAAGTGGTGGGGACCCTGGGCCCTGCTGCTGCTTCCTACCTGCCCCTACACCGCGTGCTCACCTTCTCTCCTTTCTCTCCGGGGAGGCCGGCCACCCCCGGGTCGCCCTGCAGAAAGAGAACCACGGGTCAGCCGCGCGTTGGCGGCGGGACGTGGAGAAGAGGCAGGGCTGGCCGGGAAAGGGAGGCGCTGGGACTTACCACTCCGCCACGGGGCCCGGTCTTCCCTGGGGAGCCCTGGAGAAAGCGGAGAATGAGGGGCTTGATGAGTTCCCCTCTCCAGGGAGGGAAGGGTTCCCAAGGTCCCCCCACCCAGCTCCCGGCCACACCCTTCTCTTCAGCTCCTCCTCGCCCACCAGACCAGAGCCCTGGGACCCCTCAGTTGGAATGCTCTAGAAAGATCTGAGCTCAGCCCAGCCCACTCCCCGTTAGGGCCTTTTTCCCCAGGTATTTCCCAGCCCCCTTTGGCACCTTGTCTCCCTTGATGCCTGGTAAGCCTTGGGGCCCTGGAATTCCGGGGGGCCCCTGTTCCCCCTTGGGGCCCTGAGGAGAAAGGAAACCAGAGGAGTAAATCAAATGATGCATCTGGATATGCTCCCCACCGCCCATCTCTGCTGCCCTGCACTCACCTGTTGTCCTTGAGGGCCTGGCTGCCCCACTGGCCCCCTCTCACCCTGGTCACCCTGCAATGGAAAGAGAAGGTCACATCCAGCTGTCACCAGGGGCAGCCTCCCCCAGCCAGGCCCCAGAGCCTGCACTGGCAGGGTGCCCTCCATTCCTGCTGTCACCAGCACGGGGTCCTTTGCTCCACTTCATTCACACACTGGCAAACTGGGACCCTGCCTGGAGAGGCCTCAGGCTGGGCTAGTGCTGCATCCAGCAGTGCCAGTTGCTGCAGCACCCCAGGGAGGAGCCACTGAGCAGGCACTTACCTTCTGCCCCATGATGCCTGGGGGACCAATTTCTCCTCGAGGCCCTGGCTCTCCCTGGAGGAAGGAGAAATTGGGGGTAACCAGCAGGTCTCGTGGGACCCTCCCATCCACACCTGGCTAACGCCTCCCCACCCTTGGCTCTCAGTTAATTCGCTTTATCAGGTAAGCGTCCCCAGACCTGCTGTCCTTTTCCTTCACATGACCCAACACAATTTTAGTTACCATGCATGTGATGATTTATTTCATGTCTGTCTCTTCCACTGAACTGTATGTACCCTCCACGTGAGGAGGAGACTCTGCCTATCTCAGCGCCCAGCACAGTTGCAGGTATTTGCTGAATGTTTGTGGAATGAATGAATGAATGAGTTCTGTGCCTGCTGGATTCTCAGCCCCAGTTTGGCCACCTGTGAAGGTCATGCTCCTGGAACAGTCCCCACCCTCACAGCACTGTCCATCAGGAAACAGGCGCCCAAGAGTTGAAAGAGCTTCCCTTGGGTCTGTGGGTCAGGGCAGAGCCCAGACCAACGTGGACACTCTCTAGGTTAGGGCTCCACCCCACGGCCTCACCCTGGCCCTGCGTGGAGGCGGGCCCTCTGGCCTGGGAGAGCCAATGCAAGAGCCTTGTATCAGTGGAGGAGACACTCACCTCCTTCCCCGGGGGACCAGAGATTCCAGGGAGGCCCTGCCGGCCTGGGTCACCCTGTGGGAAAACACAGTTCTCAGGTCAGTCTGCATGGCCCAGTTGGGCCTTTGGCCTCAGGGAAACCCAGTGAGCCCTACACAGAGTCTGGACCCAAACAAGTTGGGGAAGAGCGAGGGTGTTCTTGGTTAAGTCCTCTGGGCTCCACTGATTTCTTGTTAGTTTCTCCTCTGGATTTAAAGCCATCCTATCTCCATTGAGCCAGGCTGAGGGTGTGGAGGGGGTGGCAGGAGAGAGGTGGTCAGGCCCAAGGGGCTTGTGTTCAGGCTGAGCCTCTGAGCCTTGAGGGAGGCCTGGGCCTTGCAGGCTTCAAGCCAAGACCCAGTCCCTAGCCCCAGGCTCCCTTGCTCAATTTAACCCTCAGTTTGGGATCACCTCACCTGGTCTCCAGGGCTTCCTTTTATCCCAGGCTGGCCTGGCACACCCTGCAGAAAGAAGTTGATGTCAGTTTCTGCCCTGGCATGGGGGAGCCCTATGCACCTGCTGCTTTGCTTCCCATCCCAGCCGAGACTCCCCCACCCAAGGGAGAGGAACAATGGAAGGCAGCCCCGGCACCATGAGCTTGAGTGTGACAGAGAATGGCTGGCCTACCAGTGATCCACGGGGAAAAGATGAGCACACTTATGTGCCTCCTGGGCACTCAGGCCCATGTGAGTGCATGCAGGACACAAGTCTGCCCGTGTGCACATAAGCAGGTTTGGTCACTCAGCACCCCCACAGGGGGACAGGGTGAGCTCCCAAGGACTGGGCTCCAGAAGTATTAGGATGGAGAGGGGCCTGTGGGGTGGGAAGGCACAGAGTGACCAGGGAGGGGCACTCCAAACAGGGGGCCCAGCAAGGCCTGAAGGTGTGGAGGCAGAAAAGCCACAGAGTGTTAAGAGAGGCAGCAAGGGGCAGGGCTGATGGGGCAGGAAGGGTAGGCTGAGGTCAGAATAGGGTGTCACTGAATGCTAAGATGAGCTGTGAGGACAAGGATTGCACATGGCCTGTTCCTGTTTCCATGCCACTTAGTGTACTGCAGGTGCCCAGTAAGTATTTATTGATGAATGACTTTTCCTGGAGGCAATGTGGAGCCATGGAAGGTACTTTAGCGAGGAAATGGTAGGATTCCATTTAGCCAGTATGGAGGATCAGAATGGCCAAAGAGAGGGCTGGGGCAGTTGTCCAGATGATGAGGCCTAAGCCAGGCCAGGGGCCACAGAGGTGGTAATGAGGCAAGAGGTGGTGGCTGAGCAAGAGCCCTGGTGTGCGGATCTGATCTTGTCAGCTGCTCATGCCATCGCGGGGAGTTGGGCAGCAGAGTGCCTGGCCTCTCTGAGGCCGAGGAGAAGAAGCCACGTGCCCATGGGGCAGCGTCTGTGGCTCCACCTGAGACTTACCGCTAGGCCCTGGTGGCCTGGGCTTCCTGGCCGCCCTGCCTGTCCCGCGCTGCCCTGGGAGAGACAAAGAACCAGAGGCACGTGTTAGAGCTCCAGCCAGAGGGTCCATGGTTTCCACCCAAGTGCAGGTAGGGAAACTGAGGTCCAGAGGCAAGGAAGGACATGTCCATGGCAGCCCTGAGGATCCCGGGCTCCCAGGCCTCTGGGATCAGTGTGATGGAACCCGGCAGGGAGGAGCCCCGCCCTGCCACGATCCCATCAGCTGTCCCCACTCCTACCTTCGTGCCAGGTGTGCCTGGGGTCCCGTCCTTGCCGTCGATGCCCGGGGGGCCCTACTCAGGAGGAAAGGTCAAGGGAGACTCACAATGGGGACATGTGTGCGACCAGGCCACCCTCCCATGTTCCTCTGTGACAGCTTCGGAGGGCAGGGATGGAGTGGGTCTGGTCGTCTCAGGAAGCCCCACCAGCCAACCGGGGGAGGAGAGCTGACGTGGGAAGGGGAATAGGGGATGGATCCTGGTCCTTCCCTTGTGTGGATGACAGTAGAGGTCAGCCCCAGACTGCTGCAAGCTTCCTGTGATCTCTCCTACATCATCACCCCCCATTTACAGGTGAAGAAACTAAGGCACAGAAAGGGAGGCGTTTCCCGGGGTTACAGAGCCCGTCCGCCCGCCTGCAGTGAGTCCAGTCTAGGGTCCCCGGCTCCCCTCCCTCTGGGGGTTTGGACGAATTAACTGAACCCTGGCCTCTGTCCGGGGGGAACCTGGGCCTCTGGCACTTGCCGTTGCTCCCTTCGGGCCTGGGATCCCCTGGAGTCCTCGAACACCTTGGCTGCCCTGCAAAGGAAATCAGGTCACCTTTGGGATGTTAAACTCTGCGTAGAGAGGGGGACAGCTGAGAGCAGCGGCCCCTGGGCAGGGGCTGGAGGAGAGGGGCTCAGGTGTCCTTTCTGCCTGGGAACCAGTGTGGGGAACTGGGGGTCAGTGCCCAGCAGCCAGGCCAGGCTGGGCAGCAGCAGGGACAGGAATCAGTGCCCACGAGCCCCTGGCCAAGGCCCTGAGCTCCACACAGCTAAAGAAACACGACAACTGAATGCAATGGGTGGACTTTCGGGGAATCTTCAACAAGAACTATGACAAGGCATTTTTGAGATAATTAGGAAAAATGGAGTAGAGACTGGGTATTAGATGATGTTAAGGAGTAGTTTATTTTGTTAGTTGTGATAAAGATGTGATTATGTAAGGAAAAGTCTATTTTTTAGAAATATGTACAGAAGTATTTGGGATGAGATGATGTGATATTAAGCATTTGTTGGAAAACAGAGCAAAAAAGTAACAGAGGAGGGGAAGTTAGACAAAATGAATGTGGCCGAAATGTTAGTAACCGTGGGACCCATGAGACAGGTAAATGGGGACTTATCATATCATTCTCTCTGCTTTTCTACATATTTTTATTTATTTTTATTATTTTTTTTTATTTGGGGCCTTCTGGTAGGGACTGGAAGACATGCTAGACAAATTCTAAAAGAATTGTAACACTTCTACATATTTTTTAACTGGCATTAAAAAACTAATAATAATAATAAAAAGTTCATCGTACTTTCTTCTCAGTTTTCCTGTGAACCTAAAACTGCTCAATCTCAAGTGTTCTTACCACAATAAAAATAAATAAATAAAACTACTCCCCAAAAGTCTATTAATTAAAAAAAAAAAAAAGAGTTAAGAGAACTGGGATCCCAACCAAATCCCATTAGCCGCATGGCCGATTTGCTGGAATTTCATTGTCTGGCCCCACTGACCCTGGGACTGGATCCCAGGGCTTCTAAAGTCCGCATTTGGGCTTACTGGGCCCAAATTCCCAGCAGGCCTCCCCCCAGCAGTCACCCACGTGCAGAGAAGCGTGCGCACGCGCATACTCCCACGCAAACGCACACACGCGGGCCTTGGGTGGGCTGAGTCCAGCCCAGTACTCCCCAGGGGCCCTGACTGGACAAGGGCACTGAGGACTTACCACGTCACCCTTCTCCCCGGCTCGGCCTGGCGGTCCCCTCGGACCTTCCTCACCCTGCCAAGAAGGACAAACGAACCCAGGTCACATGGGCCGAGGAGGAGCCCCAGCCTGGGGGGCAGCAGGGCGGGGGTTAGGAGCAGGCTTACCGGTGGCCCAGCAGCTCCGATGGAGCCCACCATGCCTTTATATCCACGAGGACCCTGGGGAGAGGAAGTGCTGCGGGTCAGCCCCGGCTGGTCCCCAGAGGCCAGACGGCTGGTCCTGGCGGCTCTTTCAAGACACCCGTTGACTCACTTACCATCTCTCCCTTGGGTCCCGCCATGCCTGGGTAGCCCCTGATACCCTGGGGACCCTGTCAAGACAGAAAAATGACAGTAATAGCAATTGCAAGTCCCACTCATGGTACCTCCCTCCTCTGACCCCACCCGCAGTCTTCACAATGCTCTTTGAGGTTGACAGCACATGGTGCTGTGCTCATGGATGGGACATTGAGATCAGAGATGGGGGGACTCACCAGTGTCACTCAAAGGGAGAGGAAGAGCCTGGAGCCTCAGCTGAGCCTTCTAGCTGACAGTCACCCTCAACTTCCCTCTTCCCACCCAGAGAGGCTCCCGGCTGGACACAGGTGTCTCTTTTACAAGCTAGGCCTGAGCAGGGGAATGACTCCATTAAGGGATGCTAGGATGGGGGAGAGGAGGCCACAGAGGGGAGGTGTTCCTTACCGGTGGTCCAGGGATGCCTTGCTCTCCAGAGGCACCCACATCTCCCTTGGGACCCTAAGGGGCAGGGATGAGCTATCAGACAGGCAGGCAGATGGAAATGCAAATATACAGACAAGCAGAGATGCCTCCCCCTTCCCCAGCAAAAGCGCACAGGAAGGACCCTGGAAACCATACAGTCCCATGTTACAGATGGGAAATTAAGGCCAAGCAAGGAGACTTGTCCAGAGACACACTAACTGGAACATAGGCCTCCAGCCCCCAGCTCACGGCTCTATCCCCAGAACCCACAGGAGAAGGGGCAGGGATGAAGGGGACAGGCCCCTGTAGGTCCCTCTCCACATATTCCCATGCCACGGCCCTCAGCCCGCACACTCACCGGCTTCCCCTGGCGGCCAGGATCACCCAGAGCCCCGTGTCTGCCTGGATGTCCCTGCAGGGAAGGAGGGCTCAGTGTGAGTTCCCTTCTGATCACCAGCTCCACGCTCCCAAGATTTGGACCAGGGGCTCTCACCTTCACGCCCTGCAGCCCTGGGGGGCCTTTCGCACCCGCTGGACAGTTGGTTGGACACTGAAAAGAAAATCCCACAAGGCCTTATGGTCACTGGTTTGGTGCAGGCCAGCCGGGCAGCGCATCCCCATCTCTCACTGACCCTGTCTCCAGGGCTGCCCCTCCCTGCATCGGCCCCACCCAGGCCCGGCTCTCACCAGGAAGTCCGCGCTGCCTTCCAGGCCCTGGATGGTTCCTGGGCGACCCTGAGAGGAGATGAGTTAAAGTAGAGCCTGACCCTACCCTTCCCACCCCGGGCTTGCTCAAAGACTTTTCTCCTTCCCCTGCACATTGCCACATGTGAGGGCTAAGGATGCTTACCGGTTTCCCAGGGGGGCCCGGGGGCCCTGCTGGTCCCTCTGGTCCAGGATCCCCCTAGAAGCAAAAGAGGCCCAAATCATACCCCTGTTCAGCCCTTCCCAGGTAACCCTGCCCCCTCTGGTTCCTGCCACTACCTTATCCACCCTGCCCTCCAGGTCACCTTCTGAGATCCACCTTCTTGGAGAGACCAAGACCTGCTTGGCAGGGTATGGGGCCAACCCTTGGCTTCCCAGAAAGACCTACTGCAGGGTGGGTTCAGCAGGAGGGGTTTCTGTCTCAGACCTGGAGGAGCTCCCTGGTGGCCAGAAGCAGACCCAGGAACTCTGTGGGACACCGCCCCCCGCTTGCCAGCATAGAGACAGAGGGCAGGAGGCCAACTGAGTGGAGGGTGTCTGGAGCTCACCTTGGGGCCTGTGATTCCAATCTCACCAGGAAGGCCAACAGGTCCAGGTGGTCCCTAGGGAGCAGAGAGTTGATGGCCAGGGTGCCTCCAAGGGTCAGCCCGCCCTGGGCATGAGGGTAGAGATAGGTACGCAGAGCCTCTCTCTCCACTTTTGCTTTTTGACCAACCCCAGAGAGACTGACAGACTGGGGTTTTGAAGACCAGAGAACCCCAGACTGCCCATGGCCTCTGGTAGTCCTGACGCTATCCTGACACTATCATGGCATGCTGGCATCTCCCAACAATGGCCATTCCCTGGAAGCCCTTCTGTGGTCCCCTCCTTCCCTGGGTGTTCCGTGCACCCTGTGCCATCCCCAAGGACTTACAGGAGGTCCAGCAAAACCAGGGCCCTGGAACAAAAGGAAAGGAATTGGGTTCATGGCTCCCTCTACAGGTTCCCCTCCCCACAAAGGGTCCCTGGAAGCTCTTGCAGGCTGTACTCACCGGCAGGCCAGGAGGACCGGGGAGCCCAGGCTGGCCCTGCAAGAGCAATGGAAGAGGTTCAGAGACTGGGGTCTCCTGGGTCCCTGCTCCTCTACTGCAGCCCCTCCCAAACACTGGCCCTGGGTTGCCTGTGTTGAGGCCCCAGCAGGTCACCTACCTTGGTTCCAGGGGTCCCAATGGCTCCAGGCTCCCCCTTGGCTCCAGTTAAACCCTGGGGAAGGATGAGAAGGTAAGATCAGTGAGGAGCAACCTGCTCCCTGATCCATGGGGCAGGGCAGGTCCAGGGCTCTTTACTGGGTGGGCCCAGGTAGGGATTTCCACACCTTCTTTTCCCTTTCCCCAGTTCCCATAGTAACCCTGGGAGGCAGGCAGGACAACTGTCCTCTTTGAAAGATGAGTGGGCTTCATGTCTCCCAGCTTAGGAGTCTAGAAGATCTAGACATAGGTCTAGATTGGACATTTGATTGCTATCTGGCAACTTTTTCTGTGCCTTAGTTTTCTTATTTGCAAAATGGGTTAATCATGCTTACCTCTCTGAGTCCATGTGAGAATTGATGTGCTAGCAGAGGACAGTGTGCTTGGTAATCTTTGCAGGGTGTAGATGAGTTTGGAGGGAACCTATTGGCTGGTACCAGCCCTGGTCATACCTCTTAAGCCAGCAGGACAGAGGCACCTTGGGGGGTGGGGGGGGGCTCTCCTTCCTCCCATCTTTCAGTGATTGACCCCAGGGTATCCCCCACCAGACAACTGTCCTCATAGCCCTGGGGCTGGCTGTGTCCAGGAGCCTGTGACCTTGGGGCTCCTGGGAGCTGGGTGGTATGAGCCAAATGATGTTCCTCTCCTGAGCTGTGCTTGGGGCTGTGGGCAAGGGGTTGGCGGGGAAGAGGGTGGGGGGGGGAGACAGGGCACACAGGGACAGCCCCACCCAGCATATTCAGTGAGACTAAGTCATAGCTGCTATGGACGAGCAGGGGGATGCTGCACCCCACAGAAAGCAGAGCCCCTCTCTGGACCCCAGTTGCCTCTGATTCAGTGCTCCCTCACAGTGGGTGTGAGGTTCCAGTAGGGTCACAAGTCATATGAAGGTGAGGCAGAGCCAGTCAATGGGTGGCAGCCCTTACCTGCCCTGCCCAGCACCCAGGTACTCACATCAATCCCGGGCTTCCCGTCCGGCCCATCTGGCCCGGCTCTGCCAGGCTCTCCCTTGACTCCCTTGAAAACAGGTGGAGCAAATATCAGCCAGAGGAGGGCCAGAACTGGAAGGGTCAAAGATCAAAGAGGAAGAAAGCACTCACCGGAGGGCCAGCTTTTCCTGGAGGCCCCTTGTCACCCTGAAAGATACAAGTTGGTGAGACAGCACCTTGTGGCTCATGCTAGCCCATGTGGGCACACACAGGCCCTGGCTGGCCAGCCCCAGTTGCTCCTGTCCTCATTCCCCTCTCTTCTGTCCTGGATCCCTTCTGCCTTGCACTCCTTAGGAAAATAGCCCCCTTCCCTCAAAAAAAAAAAAAAAAAAAAATCACAGGTGCATTGAAACCACCCCCAGCCAGGCTAGAGAGGGCTATGTCAACATGCAAGTGGGTTTTCTACATGCTCATGTTGCTGAGGTGCCAGGAGACCACACATAGGGCGCCGGCTCCAGGCTACCTCACAGGCTGATGTCTCTCCCATAGGGCATGTGTGGGAAGAAGGCTGGGCTTTTAGAGACACACGAAAGGGAGGTGAGAGCGTGAAGCAGCAGCTCTATTCTGGATTGTGGGTCAGGAAAACAAGAGGGTGGGGTAGGGGCAAGGACGAAGGGGGCCTGGAAAGGGGGAATGCAAAATATTCCCAAGGAGGGAAAGACCTCTTTCCCCAGTGACAAAGGACGCTTGGTGGAGGACAGGCAGGGCTGGCGGAGTGAAATTCAGCCCCACAGCGGCCTCCAGGCATTTCGGAGCCTACAGCAGCCAGAGCCTGGCGGGGCCCCAGCATCCTGTGTTGGGGGCTGGGGATGCCAGGTTGAATAGAAGTCTGTCCAGATGGGTAAACATCAAGCCGACCTCCTGGGGGAGCCTCCGGAATGAGGCGTTTAACTTTCACCATGCTCGGGGGAACAGGGAACAAGCCCAACAGATTCTAAATTGGGGTGAAAAAGAGCAAAGGGAAGAGACAGGAGTCTGGCCCCAGCTGGTCAGCGGTCTGGCCCAGGCTCCCGAGCTACCCTGAAGAAGCGTGCAGACGTGCCAGGGGCAGGGCGAGGGGTTAAGGTCTCCCCTACCTCAAAAGGAGGAGACAGGAGGGGAGGGGGATAAGGACTCGCTGTGAGCTGTGGCCGGCAGACTACACAGGAGCTCCTTGTTGGCGGGCGGCTATAACGGGCACTGCATTTCGGGGCTGGTTTGGGGTTTTTGCTGAACAAACGCGCTCCTTGTGGGGCCGGCCGGCGCCGCCTACTGGCGTCAGGGGGCACTGCACCTCCAGGCACCGCCCCCCGCCGCCCTAACCCCGCAGCGCACAAAGCTCCCCTTTGTCCTCGCCTGCCTCCCGCCGCCCGCCCAGGCTAGAGACTCACGTCGATGCCGTCGGATCCAGGCACTCCCGGCGGCCCCGGGGGGCCTGGGGGGCCCCGCTCTCCCGGGGGACCTCTCTGAAAACACACAGGGGTGCAACCCTCAGACCGTGTAGGGGGCTGGGCGTGCCAGGGCTGCAGGCGACCCTGGGAGCGGGGTCCTAGAGGTGCACCTCCGCCGGGAAGGGAGCTCGGCAGGGAGCGGCGGACTCCTGTGCAGTGTGCCATTGCGTACGTTATCTGAGCACTCAGAACCGGGAGGCGGGTGATATTTCGGGCCCACGTTGGCAGTTGAAGGAACAGGCTCAGAAAGAGTAAGGGTCCGGGTCCTGAGAGTGAGTGGCGCAGCCAGGACTCCGTCCTGGGTCTGCCCGTGTCGCCTCGCGCTGTCGCGGTGGGGATGGCTGGAGACGGGACCGACGGCTGGGACAAACCACACATGGGACGCAAGGGGCCGGGCAGACGGCTGGCCCTCCATTAATGGTAGCTCGTTTATTACTTTTTAACGAACGTCACGTATAGACGGTGAGTGGGCACCTCCTCCTCTGCCCCGCGTGAAGGTAAAACACGACGGGAAAGTGAGGGCGGCGCAGACAGGTGTAGGGAGGGGAAGCGGTACTCGCTTCCCCCTGGGAGCACCCTCCGCCAGCACCGCCGCTCTGGCCTCCCTGGGGTGGCCCTTTCACCTCCCTGGGGTGGCCCTTACACCTCCCTGGGGCGGCCCTTACACCTCCCTGGGGCGGCCTTTACACCTCCCTGGGGCGGCCCTTTCACCTCCCTGGTGTGGCCCTTACACCTCCCTGGGGTGGCCCTTACACCTCCCTGGAGCGGCCCTTTCACCTCCCTGGTGTGGCCCTTACACCTCCTTGGGGTGGCCCTTTCACCTCCCTGGTGTGGCCCTTACACCTCCCTGGGGTGGCCCTTTCACCTCCCTGGTGTGGCCCTTACACCTCCCTGGGGTGGCCCTTTCACCTCCCTGGGGTGGCCCTTTCACCTCCCTGGGGTGGCCCTTTCACCTCCCTGGGGTGGCCCTTTCACCTCCCTGGGGTGGCCCTTACACCTCCCTGGGGTGGCCCTTTCACCTCCCTGGGGTGGCCCTTTCACCTCCCTGGGGCGGCCCTTTCACCTCCCTGGGGCGGCCCTTACACCTCCCTGGTGTGGCCCTTACACCTCCCTGGGGCGGCCCTTTCACCTCCCTGGGGTGGCCCTTACACCGGTTGGCCCGGACCCAGGCAGGGGTCCCGTGTCCGCCGGTGCCCGCGCCCGCCCCGGCGGGGAAGTGCTAGGCTGACGCCGGCAGGCGAGCTGGAGCCGCACCCGGGGCCGACGGCGCCCGGACCCCTGCCCGGACCCCTCCGGGGTGCGTTGGGTGCCGGCAGCCGCCATCGGCCCTCGGAAGTGAGACGTGGGCTGGCGCTGCACCGCGGGGCGAGAGCGGCGTCTGGCTGGAGCCGGCGCCCCCGGGAGGCGCGGGGCGGGGGCTCCGCGGCGGTGAATGGGCACCATTGTCTTCCCCGCCACCTGGGCTGCCCCGCCTGCCAGGACGGAGCGCCAGCTCCTGCCCCGCCGCCTGTCCCGCGCAGGGCCGAGCATCCGCGGACAGGGTCCCCTGGCTCCCCGGCCCGTCCACCGCCTTTGGCGGGGCCGCGCTGTGCACCGTGTACGCACCCACCCGGGGGCCGCGCCGCGGACCGTCCTCGGCTGCCCCTCGGGCGACGGGGCGTCAGGAGAGGCGGGCACAGGCAGAGCCCTGCACCAGACCCCCAACCCCGGCCCCAGACCCCGCACCTGGCCCCGGCGCCAGAGGGGCCGCAGGACTTACGATCTGCGCCAGGGCGAGCCCGAGCACCTGGAGGAGGACGAGGAGGCTGCGGGGAGCGGCCGCAGCGGCCATGGCCGGCGGCGAGTTCGCGGACGGTGCCGGGCCGCACGCACCGACGGCGGAGCTCCTGGCGCGGGTGCTCGCTGCCGACTGGCTCAGCCTCCTGAATATGCGGCGGGGCGGGGCGGGGCGGCGGGGCCTGTCACCCGAGAGGGCCGCCGGGTGGGGACGGGGCAGGCCGGAGCCCTCCGTCCAGCCCCGCCCCGCTCGGCCGGGCCGCCAGCGCCCACCCTCTGTCCTCGCCCGGCTTCCCGGAGGCCCCAGCTGGGCGCTCTGAGGGGCGACAGTGGCGCGGGACGCAGACGGTGGTCGTGTTTCCCTGTGAGGAGGCGGAGGGCCGTCCTAAGCCCCCCTCCGGCCGGGCCGCCAGCGCCCAGCACCTTCCTCCGACCCGCAGCCCGCGCCCCGTCGCTTACCGGCGTCCTCAGCCACCTCTGCCGGGCTCGGTCCTCCCTCCTCCAGGGCCCCGGCCTCGCCTCCGCGGACCTTGCCGCAGGCTCTGCCCAGGCCGCAGGCGCCTTCTCCTCTCCCCCCGGCTCCTTCCTCTCCGCGTATCAGGTCTCTTCCATATTAAAAAAATATCACAATCCTGGATAAGCCACCTCCAGAATACCCACCCCATCTGCCCCTTCCTTCCCTCTTGCTTCCTTGCCAGCCCTCATCCCCCAACTTCTCACCTCCTGGCTTCTGTTTTATGTCATTCACATCTTCAAATCAGGTTCCAAAGCCTCACAACACTCCCTGCTTCTGTCCTGACCAGGAGCTGGGTCTCCTGGAGGTCGCCAGTGAAGCTCAAACCCCTTCTTCAGTCCTCCAGGCAGGAGACTGTTGGCACCTCCACCTGCCCCTGGCCATTCTGTCCTTGAAGTCTTTCCTGTCCAAGCTGCCATCGTCCAGCTCCGGTAGTCCTCTATCGCCTTTTCTTCTTCTCTCCTCAGTGCAGCTCCCTTAAGCCCTGATGACTCTAGGATTGGGCCTTCTCATTCAATTTCTCCAGTGATCCCCATGTTCATGGGAACAACCATCACCTTATTTACCCGTTTCCAAAACCCACTGTCCAGAAGAGCCTGTCTCCAGAATTACTTCCCTTGCCTTTCATTCACTTAAGCAGTATTGGCAAAGTGCTTTGGAATCTGACTCTTACAACTGCAGATATAAAACAGGCACCTAAAACTATATGAAGTCTCAGTTTCCTCATCTGTAAAATGGAGATAATAATAGCCCCTATTTTAAAGGGTTTTTGTGAAGATTGAATGCAATGACGCTTAACCTGGCACCAGCACTACTTGGTAGGTGCTGGATGCGTTCTAGCTTTCATTGTGATTTATAGAGGACGGCCTGTTTACCAGGTCTGCACCCAATGTGGGGAAGCTGTCCACAAGCAGACCAATAAAACGGTCAAGGAGAACATTTGCTGTTACCGAGGGAGGTGCAACTCCCCTGGGCAGTTAGCAAAGGGTCCTGGACTTTGAAAGATTGTCCTGGAGCTAAATTTGGGAAAAGGGGCTTGAAGAATTTAATTGCTCTGCCTAACAGGAAGAAGAAGAATTTAGAATTTGTTGGAAGTAAGATGAGAGGAGGAGGAGGTAAGAGATGGATGGTGGGCATTGCTTGGAGTTGGGGTGGGGGTAAATGTGTAAAGGATATTTAAGAATTGAGGTGTCCAAATTCAATTTTAGGTTGTTGGTTTTATGTCTTTCACGTCTTCATCTCCTTTGGCTAAACGCACAAAGGCCTTATGTAAATTTTCTTTTTGGGGGGAGTGGCAATTGTGGAGAAGGGATGAGCTTCGCATTCGGACAGCACACATTGGTGTATTAATTATCTTTTGCAGCATAACAATCTCCCCACATTTAGTGGCTTACAGCAAGAATTTCTTGGATCAGGAATCGAGGAGTGGCTCTGCTGGTTGGTCCTGGCGAGGGGTCTGTTATGAGGTTCCAGTAATATGGTGGCTAGGGCTGGAGTCATCTAGAAGGCTTCTTCGCCCATGTCTGACGTCTGTATTGGGAAGCCTTCAACAGCTGGGGCTGGAACAGCTGGAGTTTCTTGGACAGCTCTCTGTCTTATGCCACTGTGGGCTTTCTAAGAGATCTCTCCAGCATGGTGGCTTCAAGGTAGCTGAACTTCCTCCATAGCCCAGAGGGAAGAGAACACCAGCCTGAAGAGAATCACCTCTTAGGACCTACTCCTGGAAGTCATACAGTGCCACTTTCACCAAATTCTTTTGGTTGAGGCAATTACAAAGGTCTGCCCAGGTTCAAGGGGAGGGAACAGAGATCCCACCTCTTGATCCATGTGTCAATGTCACATTTCAAGAAGAGCATGGGGCATGAAATAGATATTGATGCAACCATCTTTGGAAAATATGTTCTACCACACTTGAGGTTATAAGCTGAAGCAATTTAGGGATAGCTGAAGCTCAAAGCTGGAGCCAAGAGAAATCTTAGGAAAGGCTTTTGAACACAAGACATGGGCTGGAGGTTCCAGCCAATCACATATGGCTCTTAAGGAGCAGACAGATCCTGAGTAAGTGGAGAGTCATACATTACATTCTTGGATAAGAAAATTAAGTATTGCAAAGACATCAAATTAATCTATAAATTTCATGCAATCCCCAACAAAATCAGTGAGTAGCTAGGATTAAGTTGCTAGGGCAACACCACGTCTGTCTAATTTACAAAACTTTTCATAGAGATGGAGTTCTCACTATGTTGCTTAGTCTGTCAGTCTGATCTTGAACTCCTGGCCTCAAGCAACTGATCCTCCTGCCTAGGCCTCCCAAAGTGCTGGGATTACAGGTGTGAGCCACCACCCTGGCCAAAGAATTTCCCTGAAGAAGAAATTCTGCCTGTGACTAGCAGCTTTCTTTTTCTTTTTGCTCCACTCCCTCCCCATAGCAGCTTTCTATCCATTCCTTCTTCTCCTCTCTTTCTTGGACTCCAATTGCATGTGTTGGACCAGTGTTCTCCAAAATTTTTGGCACCAGGGACCGGTTTCATGGAAGACAATTTTTCCACAGATGGTGGGTGCGAGGTAGAGCTTGGGTGGTGATGTCGGCGATGGGGAGCAGCTGTAAGTACAGGTGAAGATTCACTCACTCTCCCCACCCACCACTCACCTCGTGCTATGCAGCCTAATAAGCCACCACCTGATACTAGTCTGTTAGAGGAAGGGGGGGCGGCTGCAGTGTTAGACTACTTGTTAGTGTTGCACAAGTCATCGAGGCTCTTTATTTATTTATTTATTTATTTTAGACAGACTCTTACTCTCTTGCCTGGGCTAGAGTGCCATGGCATCTGCCTAGCTCACAGCAACCTCAAACTCCTGGAATCAAACAATCCTCCTGACTCAGCCTCCCGGGTAGCTGGGACTACAGGCACGCACCACCATGCCTGGCTAATTTTTTCTATTTTTAGTTGTTTTGGCTAATTTCTTTCTATTTATAGTAGAGACAGGGTCTCACTCTTGCACAGGCTGGTCTCGAACTCCTGAGGTCAAGCAATCCTCCTGCCTTGGCCTCCTAGAGTGCTAGGATTACAGGCGTGAGCCACCGTGCCTGGCCAGAGGCTACTTTTATGAAACATTTTATTTCAAGATAATTGTGGATTCACATGCTTTTGTAAGAAATAATACAAAGAGATTCTGTGTATTCTTTACCTAGTTTCCCTTAATGGTAGCATCTTGCAAAACTACATTACAACATTACAACCAAGACTTGATATTGATAATCAAGATAGAGAACATTTTCATCACCACAAGGATCCCTCATGTTGCTCTTTTATAGCTAAACCACTTCCCTCCACCCCCAAGCCTTCCTTAACTTCTCACAACCACTAATCTGTTCTCTATTTCTATAATTTTGTCATGTAAAGATGTGATACAAATGGAATAGTACAGTATGTAACATTTAGGGGTTAGCTTTTTTCACCCAGTATTATGCTCTGGATTTTCACCCATGTGGTTGCATGTGTCTGTAGCTCATTCCTTTTATGCTGAGTAGAATGCCATGGCACAATGCGCCACGGTTTGTTTAACCAGTCACCCACGGACACATCTGGATTGTTTCCTATTTTTGATTATTTTTGAATAAAGCTGCTATGAACATTTACATATAAGTTTTTGTGTGAACGTACGCTTTCGTTTCTCTGGATAAATGCCCTGGAGTACAATTGCTGGCATATGGTAGAGGCTTTTTTTTTTTTTAAAGAAACGTCCAATTTTCCAAGTGGCTATACCATACCATTTTACATTCCTAGTAGCAATGTATGTGTGATCCAGTCAAGTAGATTGATTCCTCCCTCTTTCTTCTTCTTTTTAAAAATTGTTTCAGTTACTCTATTTCCTCTGCCTTTGCAGGCAAATTTTAGAATAATCTGTGTATATTTTTAAAAATTCTAGCTTTTGATAGGAATTGTGTTAAACTTGCATATCAACATCTTTACTATGTTGTCATCTTCCAATCTACAATATCTCTCCCCATTTATTTAGTTCTTCTTTGATTTTTTTCATAAGCATATTACAATTCCCAGCAAACAAGTCCTGTATAGGTTTTGCTAGTTTTTTTGTTTTGTTTTGTTTTGTTTTTTGAGACAGAGTCTCACTTTGTTGCCCAGGCTAGAGTGAGTGCCGTGGCGTTAGCCTAGCTCACAGCAACCTCAAACTCCTGGGCTCCAGCAATCCTGCTGCCTCAGCCTCCCGAGTAGCTGGGACTACAGGCATACGCCACCATGCCTGGCTAATTTTTTCTATATATATTAGTTAGCCAATTAATTTCTTTCTATTTCTAGTAGAGACGGGGTCTTGCTCTTGCTCAGGCTGGTTTCAAACTCCTGACCTTGAGCAATCCGCCCGCTTCGGCCTCCCAGAGTGCTAGGATTACAGGCATGAGTCACCGTGCCCGGCCAGTTTTGCTAGTTTTATCCCTAAATATATAATTTCTAAGTGATTGTAAATGATACTGTATTTTTAATTTCTTTTTTTTATGTGTTCACTGTTTATATATATAAATGTTGATTTTTATATATTGATCTTGTATCCCAATACTCTGTTGAATCACTTATTAATTATAGAGGGTCTTTTCTTAAGTAGTTTTTTAAAAATCATCTATGTAGACAATCATCTGCACATAGGGACAGTTTTAGTTTTTCCTTTCCTATCCGTATACCTTTCATTTCCATTTCTTATCTTACTGCACTGGCTAGCACTTCCAGCTTTCTGTGGAAGAATAGTAGTGAGAGGAGGCATATCTACCTCCTTCCTGATCTTAGGGGGTGTGATGGTCAATTTTCTGTATCAACCTGGCTAGGCTAGAGTCCTCAGTTATTCAATCAAACACCAATCTAGGTGTTGTGAAGATATTTTATGAATGTAAATTTCTTTAAGTAAAGGAAATTACCCTAGATAATCTGGATGGGCCTGATTCATTCAGTTGAAAGGCAGGACCAAGAGTTCCCTGAAGGACAAGAAACTCTGCCTGTTCATAGCAGCTTCAGCTCATCCTGAAAGTTCCAGTGCACATTCCTGATGGTCTGCCCTACAGGTTTTGGATTTACCTTTCCAGCCCCCAAAATTGCATAAACCAATTTCTAGCACTAAATCGCTTGGTATATATCTTCTACTGATTCTGTTTTTTTGGTTGAACCCCAACTAATATAGGGGTTATTTGCTTTTTCATAATTATTTGCTTTTTCATAAATATAAGTTAGCTGTACTTCTTTTGCAAATAGCTTTTACCAAGTTGAGGAACTTCTCAACTCCTAGTTTGCTGAGAGTTTTTTTTTTTTTTTCAAATCATGAATGAGTGTAGAATTTTGTCAAATGCTTTGGCATCCATTGATATAATTATGTGATTTTTCTTTGTTAGTCTGCTAATATGGTGGGTCACTTTTATTGATTTTTTTGCTTCTTTTGAGACAGAGTCTTGCTCTCTTGCCCAGGCTAGAGTGCAGTTGTGTCATCATAGTTCACTGCAACCTCAAACTCCTGGGCTCAAGCAGCACTCCTGTCTCAGCCTCCCACGTAGCTGGAACTACAGGTGCGTACCACCATGCCCAGCTAATTTTTCTATTTTCTTTTTGTTTTTTTCTTTTTGTGATTTTTGAATATTGAACCAGCCATGTATTATATATTTGTATATGTTGCTGAATTTTTTATTAGGAATTTTGCATCCATTGTCATAAGGGAATTGGTCTATAGCTTTCTTTATTGTTGTACTGTCTTTGGTTTTGCTATAATATCAGGGTAATACTAACTTCATAAAATGAATTGGAAAGTATTCTCTCTTCTTCTATTTTCTGGAACAGATTGTGTTTATTCTTAAAACATTTGGTAGAATTCTCCAGTGAAATCATATGAGACTGAAGATATTTTGGGACAAGGAGTGTTAAATTATAAATTCAATTTTCTTAGTAATTACAGGGCTATTCAAATTATCTGTCTCATGTTGGATAAATAATAGTAGTTTGTGTTATTTGAGGAATTGTTTTAGTTCATCTGAGTTGTCAAATTTGTGTGTCTAGAGTCATTTGTAGAATTCCCTTATCTTTTTGATGTTGCAAGGTCAGTGGTAATAATAATTCTTTGTTTGATTCTTATTGGTAATTTTTGTCTTCTCTGTTTTTTCTTTGTCTGTCTTGCCAGAGATTTGTCAATTTCACTGGTCTTTGAAAAAAAAATAATTCTTTGTTTCATTGATTTTTCTCTATTGTTTTCTGTTTTAAATTTTATTTCTGTTGTTATTTTTGTTAATTACCTTCCTCTGTTTGCTTTGGATTTATTTTTCTCTTCTTTTTCTAGGTTCTATGATGGGAGCTTACATTGCTGATTGGAGACTTTTCCTTTTTTCTAATCTATGTATTTAGTGCTGTGTGTGTCCCTACCAGCACTGATTTAACTATTTTCTATCAATTTTGATGTTTTATTTTAATTTTCATTCACTTCAATATATATTTTTCCCATGATATTTCCTCTTTAAATGATGGATTATTTAGAAATGCGTTGTTTAGTTTCCAAACTCTCCAAACTCTCTTTGGAGAGTTTCTTGTTATCTTTCAGTTATTGATTCCTACTCTGATTCCATTTTGGTCAGGGAACCCATTCTGTATGGTTTAATCCTTATACATTTGTTAAGGTTTGTTTTATGGCCTAGGATACGGTCCG